TTTCGAAAAAAGTTTGTATTGAAGTCAATTGAGCGAGACAACTTGTCTTTCGATCCCGTTTGAATTGTGCCACGAATTACACATGATGTTTGTCAATCTTAAAAAATAATTTCCATGTCAAAAAAGTCAGTTTGTTGTAAAATTGTTGAAATATAAAACTATGAAAAATAGACTTGAATTTTGGGTTTATTTTAAAGTCAGTTTAAAAATAGGACATCAAGATGAAGGAAATAAACCATGACTAAAACCCTTGCAGATCTTCATGTTTTTCAAATGAAGCAGATAGAAGTTGATTGTACAGAGATTCGACTACCTTACTTAATATTGAGCAACACTGCCCTCTCATGGACATGTAATGAAATCCCACATCATCAATGTTTGCCGTATTCATTCTCCTTCAATTGACTCTTTTTAATCAGTATTTGTGAGAGAACGATTTATATAAACATACTTTTAAGAAAAATTAAAAAGCAAAGTACTTAAAACATGAGAAAACAGCCAATAAGATAATTAAGTGTATATATTTAAATTTTAGTCAAGACTGCTTCTGATTCACTGACCCTGATGGAGATGTTCCATCTGATAATTTGTCTTTTATTAGACCTTATTGGTGCATTATTCCTGCCATGAGTGTGTGCAATACCTCTGGGCTCCTTAAGACATGCCTGTAAGTAAACAGGACCCAGTGACCTCACTGGCAGGAAGGCCATGTCTGATCATCAAAGGCTCCTCTGCCCAGCCAGCTTGGCTCTGCAGCGGTAGGGGAACGTCGGGTCAAACAGGCCAGTGCAAAAACAATAGCCCCGTATATCCTTTACAGGACGGCTCCCTATCAAAGGCTGCCAAGACACTTACAGGCCCAACAAATCAAGAGGGCAGTCTTTATTTTTAACTGCTTGGGAAGTGAACTGTCCTGTTGCTATGTATGGGCTCTGAGCAGGATGGAATAATACCAATTACCTTATCAGATTTTGGATTATTCATTTGACTTTTCCGTAGGTATGGGCTCAAAGGTCTATTTGTTTGGTGTGTGTGTTTGACACCCTTCCCCTTCAACCCTACTGAGACTGTTTTGTGTCTCCAGTTGGACCCAGAAAAGCTGGAGAAGATCCCCGTCCTGAAGAAGCTGCGTGAGCTGGAGGAAGAGTGTGGAAAGGACGTAACTCTGGGCGTGGCACCCGAGGGAACAGAGCCTGGTCTGCACACAGGTCAAACCAAAAGGCCACCCAGACGGAGGCCAAGGAGAAACATACAGCAGGATGATGAGGGAGAGTCCAAACAGGAGAAAATAGGGGATTCAGATCAGAAACCGAGACAGCGTCCACCAAGAGTGAGGAAAGAAGGCAGAGGAGATGGTGGGGGAGAAAATGACAGAGAATTCAATAAGAGAGGAAGGGGAGGAAGAAGAGGTGATAACATGAGGGAGAAGGATCAAGAGGAGGGTGCAAGTGAAGTCCCAACTCAGCGTAGGCTCCCTCTGAGTGTGACCACAGTGTACCTGGGGGGAATCCCTGCTGGGCTGCGTGTCAGTGAGCTGAAGACGGCCCTCAGAGAGAGGGAGGCCATCCCACTGAGGCTCACCTGGCAGGGGGCTCAGCACCGGGCCTTCCTGGACTACAGCGACCCTCAGGCTGCAGAGGTGGCCCTGGAGTCTCTGCAGGATCTCAGTCTGAATGGTCACAGTCTCCAGGCCGAGCTGGCCAAGAGCCAGCGGGGAGGCAAGAGGGCTGGACAGTCCAACCGGAGAGAAAGACCACCGATGGCTCCGGAGAATACAACTGATCCCCCAGAGGCTGAGAATGACACCAATGAAAAGGCTGAGCAGGAATAGCAATAAGCAATACTCAGCCAAAGGAGTTTATTGTGAAACAACCTTAAATGCCTTAAGAAGAATCTAGTTTGTTTTATATATTTTTGGATTTACTAAAAGAGGAAATCAGTTATTTGGACCATAGACATATAATTTGACCCCTAAGGCTAATGAGCTTAATTAATATGAATTGCATATGCAATTGTTCAAATAAAAAAGCATTTCCCTAGAAAGGTTTTTTTTTTTACATACCATTTCACAATAATTTACCTATGTGCCTTTTTGCACACACGCATCCAGACACACCACCACACCTACTGGTCTGTGTACACACAACCTTCATTGCTTTAAGGTGGTTAATTTTTTTTTATTTTTTTGACTGCAATTAATTTCTTCAAAAGAGTCTGCTAAAAATACAAGTGTAGAGTTAACTGTTGTAAAGTATTCAGTACATTTTATTTCTACAACCAGTTATCAGTGTTACCTCCTCAGAGAGGGTTTTGTTTTCAGACTGATTTGTCTGCTTGACTTTAAAACCTTTTAACTGGTTAGTTTTTGTTGTTAAAGATGGCGACATAATTTACAAAGTTTATACAATCTGGATGATTCCCGAGCTCGGAAGCGTGACATTTAGAGAATTATCCTTGGTATAACATTTCTATATCCATATAGACCTCACGAATGAACTTTTTTTAAACGCTTTGCAAAACTCGTTTCCTTCCCTTTTTTTTTTTTTTTTTAACTATTCTTAAAATGTCATGCAATGTTCACAGCATCTCTAATATTTGATTGCCCATAATTGCATTATTCTTTTCCTATTCAATTGAAAAAAATAAAAATAACAATGTGCTCCATTTGAAATAGACTGCCATTTGAGCAAATGTTGGCGTTAGAAACATTTAGAAGATGTTTAAAAAGCCATATTTTAGTTGTGATATGAGATTTGCATAGTTTGTCCTTGCTCATAAGACAGGATTTAGGAATTCTATAAAACCAACATGATTGTAAAGTGTATTTGGCTACGATCTGGTTGTAGATTGAAAACATCTAAACATTTAGGACTTTGTGTAGTCTCGTTGGAGCTACACCTTTTGATTTCTACTTGCGTACTGTGGTTTTTACTAAGGTTTTTTTCAGGATATTTTGAAAATACACATTGTACATTTAAAAGTTGATATTTGTACCTTTTGTTGATTAGGAAGTAGATGTTCAAGGCATTCTGTTTAGTTAGACAAGTTATGCAGCCAGCCCCAACATTCAACTTTTAGGAGATTCTACCAGGCCTGGCTGCTGTTTAGTGTTAACTGTTTGTAACACGTTGCTGTATAACATTCTTTACTAAAGCTTTTGACTGTACTGGTTCAGCTTAGTGTCTTTTTTTTCCACAAACAAAATGCAGTGTCTTTCTGTTATTTTCGATTTGGGGTCATTGGCAGAATTTAGGAAATGTCCTGTTTTTGGATATCGACTAGCAAACTTTCATAAAACCGCACTCCACCTCAACCCCTACAACTCTTGCAAATAACACTTTTCACCAAAGAGGCATTAATAACCGTCCCAATTTAAACTTAGACCAGACCACTGAACTTACACAGATATAGAAAGCATGTTGGTGACTTGGAAATGTTGGACCTTTTGAATAGGAATCCAGTCAGTGTTTCTTGATGGGTAAGACAAACCCTATGGGTGATCATTTATTGTTGCCCTGTTTTTAGATACAAAGTAAAAGATGAATCTGTTCTCAAATACCTGTACTTAGATGCGCACAAGCCACTCACCAAAACCCAATAGCCTGTATCTTGAGCCCTATAAAGACAGACACATTATTTGGTCTCTCACTCTCCTGTCGGTCTGCAGTGCCAGACCAGTGTCCTGTTTTCACTGAAGTATTGATTGAGGCACACGGCATGTCTGTCTGCACAGCGCAGGCCTCTGGCTTTTTATGGAGCTGTCATCCAGGCCTGGTGAGGGAACAGCTGTCGATCTCTCTTTCTCTCAGCCCCGCCAGAGCACTGGACCTCGGCAAAATGTCATCAGTTTGTTCCACTCCTGTTGAGCCTGCCATCCCTGTGCTCTAAATGCCTTAGAGTACTGGGGTTCAGTCAGTGGTCATGTTGTGAGATTTCAGAGCTACACAAGTATTACGACACATGTATGTGTACACATACGCCTAAACAGCATTAAATGAACAAGATCTCTTAAATTACAATCCTGTTATTTGATCTTACTCAAGACACAACACTCGGTTGCTAAAAAGCTAAATTGCTGCCACCATGCTGCCCACTGACGCAACTGTTATTCTTTTTGAAACCTTAAACTACATTTTATAATAAATAAAACTACACTTTGTACCAATTATAACTTGCATAGCTCAAATATACAGCCATTAATACTGACCACTGATTTAGCAGATGATAACCAACAAATGAAGCACACAAAGAGCATTCTTCCTTTTCTAATATAACTGGCTATGTGGGATTTTTATGGTGTGTGTACTTCACCTATTCATTATTTATGTGCATTGAATTCTGTGGCTCTGTTATTTTTTTCAAGGTTGATATTTGTCTGATTAAGAATTAAAAGAAAAAAAGACATACCCTCAACAGTTCTTCCACTTATGTAAGACCCACATAACCCTTTTTTTTTTTTTTATAAGTTGTTAGTTAAAATCCAGTCTTTGTGTAGATTCAAAGAAGTATTTTACACACCCTGAGTTATACAGAATGAATCACAAAAAGCAGTTTTTCCGCCTGTAACCAAAGGCGTGTGAGATCTCTGCCTCTTGATTTGTTACGCTTTAATTGCTACACTCTCCTTATAGAGGGTGAAGGATTTATTTCTAAAGCCTTTTATTTAAAATCTATTACTAATTAATCATTGTTTTGTGAAAAATCTGATTTTTTTTGCCCTTGAAATGTCAATTTGATTTAATCATGCTTGACTTTTTTGCTTCTGTGTAGTATAGGACCACTTTAATGTGGATATTACCTTCATTTTGGCTTCCCTATCAACAAAGATTTAGTATAAAAAAAATACATGTAAAAGAGTAGGCTATGCCCCTTTTTCGTTAATTAATTAATTGAAATTCTAAACATTTATTTAAGAACCCTGTTGAGTAATTGTACATAGTGTTATGTCTCAGAAAGAAGCAGAATTGCCTTTAATCTTAAACTGCTGCCAACAATTACATATGTTTTGTGGTATTTGTTTACAGAGTCCTGAACACATTAGCATGAATTGTGGATGAGTAATGAAATCGATTGTTTTGTGTATTTAGGCTTCAACAGCCCAACATATATATTTTATTTCTTTACAAATGATTTGTTGTAATATAACCTAAAGATTAGCCCTCATTGATGGACCCTTGCTAATTTTCTAACATTATATAAGTATACAGTGCTGAAAGTAATGGTCTACATAGATCTAACACAAACGACATAACAGTGCTTACAATATATCCTCAATTTTCATTTTAAAACAAATAACAAGCGTTCTGACAAATATTGCCAATAAAGAATATACCTCTTTGGCCAATTCGCCTGAAATTAAAAATATGTAGGCCTAAAGAATAAATAAAAAGATGCGCATAGGCTATTCAAAAAGTGCCTTCATCCTTAGAATATATGGACATATTTTATGTGATGTCCAAAACTGTTCATTCCAAAATTCAACGCTGGTATGAAAGTCCAAAAAAGGGAAAAAGGAGCCTCAGTCTAATTTGTCAAAGAAAAGGTAAGTTAAAACTTTAGACAGATAAAAGTGTGTGCATTTTTACATTGACTTACTTCAAGAAGAAAAAAACATTAACAAAATGTGAAGTGGTAGTCATCCGCTCTGAAGGACTAAGTACCAAACAGCAGCAGGGTTTCAATACACCCAGTCTTTACCCCGCTGGACGATGTTGATGCCATGAAAAAGTTTGTCTTTATTATTATATATTATTATTATGTGGTTGATTTGTGATTGGCCTGTCTCCGTGTTTGTCGCTGTGTGAAACAGTACAGAAAAGTAGTCCGGTATACTCGAAGCAGTGAGTGCTCTCCATGGGCCGGGGCATGCCTTTATGTCTCTCAGTGGTTATTTAACTAATTTGTTCTCTTTTCAGTTCACCGTCCTTGGACACCGTCCTCTGGTCTGCAGGTTGTCCGCCGGGGCCTCACATGACGCAGGGCTTAATGTCCTGGTAGGAGACCTGCTGGTGGTGGTAGTACGAGCTGCTGCTCGGTGAGTGCATCGCGGAGGACGTCATGGCGTTGAACGAGAACACGAACTCCTTTCGGTCACACATGCTTGGAGACTGGGAATGGTACCGAGGAATACCTGTGGAAAAAGAATTTAAAATATATGGTCACAAATATGTCCAATGATACATGGCAAATTTCCAATAATTTTGTTTGGAACTATAACATAAAATCCATTTAAACATAATAGAATGATTGTATAAATACAAAATGTAGGCTGTAATTGTTAATTGTCAATTAGGTCTGTTTATGATGGAAATGTCATCTTAGAGCAGCCATAACTCTGACTTTCATTCCATTGATCTATTTGTAGGGTAAATAATATTACACTAATAAGAATACAAATAGTAATTATAATAATAACTTGAGACAACTTTGTTAAATTAAATATAGTGTCCATCCTATTCCTTACTAACAAGTATGTTGTTTGAATAAGAAGAAAAGAAAGCTCATTATGGAACATTTTCTCAGAGATGACCATTATTATTTTTTTATAATAACAACACTTTACTTTGGCTTATTTAATGTATAAAGGACAGATAAATAGCTCCACTGGTTTTTACTTAGTCGGATACAAGGGTATATGCCTATTCCTCACAGACCCAAAGTCCATTTAGCAAGCGCGATTAACCTTGTGGAAGGCGGAGGCGGGCTTGCAGGCTAATTGACAGTGGCTCTCTTGCACGCCAGTCCCGGAGGATTTGGTGCCTCGGGGCAAGGCAGGCTGCTCTTGGCCGCGCTTGTTTTTCTTGCCCGGAGATTGGCACGGCTTTAAACTGTCCCGGCAGACTATCCCTACCCTCTTTTCTTTATCATTGCGGAAACTGAAACCATGCGAGTTTAAACCGCCTAATTAGAGCCGGACAGTGGTGAAGAAGATTACATTTTTTTTGTGTGGGACAAAATACGTGGTTTCATAGTCCTTAATTGGCTTGATTTTTATTATATTCTTCCCTTTTCAATACAATAGTTGAGATCAGCCCATGTTTAGTGACGAATACAGTGTGAGATTCCACTAAGGAAATGTAAAGCTGTTCAATAGACCCACGATCATAAAAACCTGTTGAACTTGGTTGAAAATATTGTGTAGACCTCTTGAAATTAAATGTATTGTGGTGTTATTTGTAAATATGAATGAAATTATACTATGATTTTATTTATCTTCACACGTTTTTTCTAATGAAATTTTCCACAGTCTTACACAATATGTTTGAGTTTTTTTACGTTGATCAATTAGAAGTGAATAAGCTTACCTTGTAAATCTGTAGTATTGTGCCCGTTCTGGTGCAAGTAAGATTGGTCCAATGAATGTGTGGGCAAGCTGGGCTGCAGTGAGTTGCCCCCTGGATTACAAGGAGACAGAGGCTGCTGCTTTATGTAGGCCCCGTTATTCAGAGAGGCCGAGGGGGCTGGAGCCCACGCCGAGGCTGAGCTCGAGTAGACCGGATGAGGCTCCATGACTCCTCCGCTGGTGAGCAGAGGGGAGCCGGAATTGTCGTGGTGTGCATAATCACTCCCGGTGGATCCTGTACAACTTCCCATGTAGGAATGTCCACCGTTGGTTGACAAGTGTGACATGCTGTGCCCGGACAGACCCATCCCTTCCATGTTACCTGTCAAGTGTCCATTCATCATCCCAATCCCGCTGTCCAGGGACAGGCCGTTGGGTGGACAGGAAAGTCCCCCGCCGCTCCCCTGGAAGTTGTAGGACTCGGGGATGTGGTTGAATCCCAGGCCGTTCATCATGCTGTACATGGGCTTCAGCGCCTGGCACTTGCGCCTAAAACCCCTCGGTCTCCTTCTGAAGGACCCTTCCTCAAACATAAACTCACTAGCCGGGTCGATAGTCCAGTAGTGGCCCTTCCCGGGCCTGCCGAGGCCCTTGGGCAGCTTGATGAAGCACTCGTTCAGAGACAAGTTGTGACGCACGGAGTTCTTCCATCCCTGGTATGAGCCCCTGAAAAACGGGAAACGGCTCTGTAGGAACTGGTATATTTCACTGAGCGTCAGTCGCTTGGTTGGAGAGCTCTGGATAGCCATGACTATTAAGGCGATGTATGAATATGGGGGTTTCTCTGGTCTGCGGATCCCAGCGTTTGTCTTTTTGGTTTTCGTAGTGGAGGATGCGGTTTCCATCACTGCCGTCTGTCCGTGCGGCTTCTCCGGGGCAGACATCGGACTGCTCTGAGCAGGAGTCTGCGCGGCGGGCTGCTGGACCTCTGCCGTCATTAGTTAAATGTAGTCTTCGAGATGGCAAACGAAAATAGTTGGTGTCCACCTTTCCAGCTATAAACACTTTAAGTAAGATGCTAGTTAGCTGGCATAAAGAGTCGAAAAAGTAACCGGAGGCAAACTTAACGAACGAGTCAAAATCGAAACTGTCTTCTAATGTCTGACTTCTGACTTCTTCTCTTGATGCAGTCCTGCAGCAGCCTGAAGCCTTGTACAACGCGTCCGAAATGGGATGAGGAGCAGAACAGGAGCCGCTTTCCACTTCAGTTGGTGTGTTGTCGTGCGTCCGAAGAGCTCACTTTTTACTTATCTGTTGCCATCAGCGCATTGGAAGCTGGATGTCTTGGCCATCCTGATGTTGGGACCCGCCCAGATCCCTCCTACTCCAGTGGTGGGCTGTAAGTATGCACATCTGTGTGCGTTCACTTTTCAGGGAAATGTTTTCCCCTACCTTACATTAAAATAGGTAATGTTTCTCCAGTATATTCAGTAAAACCTATAGCCTATGTTATTATACGCTGCAGAGTTGAACTAAATTAAAATGGATGATCATATTATACGACAGAACACTTACTACACGTAAAGGGCATTTAGATACAGATTCTAAAAGCCTTGCTTTCTAGTATGACTTTATTTTATTGATATTCCTATTTGTAATGCTGAATAATACAAGTGATACAAACTAAACTGTAGATTCCTGAACGTGCAGTGTCCCTCACTTTCCGGCCACAGGCTTGATGCACCAGCACGGCACTTAACCCGAGTCTAATTTGCAACACAATTAAACTTGTGAAATATAAAAAAAAAACATTTTAACTGTATTCAACAGTGACAAGCAGATAATTTGCCCCTCTTATTCAAACCACCTTATGATTTCTTCAAAAGATAGACAGGAACATGGGCAGGATGTTTATACAGCAAAATGTAAACATTTTCCCTGGCCTTCTTTAAATAAAAAATCAAGCAAAAGCTCCGTTAGATCAGTTAATACTCAATCGGATGCAATATGCCCTTCTCTTCGCTGCGTCTTGTGTGATGTTGGACTTTTTTGCATATGAATATTGTTTGTGTAATGCAGTCATAATATTTACGCAGGGACGCAGGAGGAGTAGAGACCAAACTGTGCCGAACTGTGAGCACAGAAAGTCGGACCGGGATCTGAGATCGACTCCTGCTGCAGTTTACCATCGAATGATCATTCAAGGTAAAGTGGATTTAACACTTTTTACCAGGAGAACTATGGCCGTTTTATGTAAGTGCTAAGATTAATGTGTAGGCCTATTATGTTTTATCGGACAGTATATCTGATAGCAAAGTTAGACAACCGAAGCTTCAATTATATATCAAGCCTGTTGCAATAACTTATATGTATTTCACTCAAGAAGATGGGCACCGATTTGTTGTGTTTTCGAAGTGAAAAAGCTTAGTTTTTGGTTCGATGTATTATACCTTTTACAAAGCTGTGAACGAGAGCTAATGAAAGACGATCTGTCCATAACCTAAAAGTGTTGACAGTAGATTGCTTATTGTTCCCTGGAGATCTCGATAACTGCAGCTGGCAAACTTTTGCCTCTACATGGGTCCAGTTAGTCGAGTAGTTGTGCTTCTGATCTCTGCCGGCTTTACTGCTTCTAGAGAATGCCTGTAATGACTGTTGGTTTTGACACAATGAAAATAACACAATGGAAAATAGTGGGTGAACAATTTTATCCTGTGCGTAAAACCAGACAATGCTTGGAGACGATGTTGCCTCTGCGTAAAGATCAACAGTAGCTCTTATAGCTTAATATTTTTTTCTTATGTTAAACACCAAGGCAACATGTTTTTTAAATTAAACTACATAGGACATATATTCAAATTCAATGTGGAGGCGTAACTGAAATATACAATTGTTTTGTTTAGGTTTGCCGCAAATGTCCAGTGTCATTTTTGTTTCAGACGAGAAAACAATCCATTGTCAAATTCTCAGTGTCAACCCAAAGGTGACAGACGTGCCACTGTTAGCTCTCGCAGATTTGAACACATAGATAAATGAATGTAAGTATTGTTTTAACCGGTGCCTGTACGGCCACTCGCCTGGAGTGAGGGCCACACATTTATCAGGGTAAAAGACCACCCAGCGCGCACCAGGGGCAGGCGCGCTCCCGTCCTCTCTCTGCCCACTGCATTTAATTACCGCTGATGACTTCATTCCATTAGGGCCCTTTTCCCCTCACACGCTCATTCGCCCCATGTCATGTTATTCTTTCTTTGTTGTAGTCTACATTGGCCTATTTTTTTGTACTTCTCATAATCATCCAACGCCTGTGTCCGTCCTTACGCAAACTATCAGTGTTGGATTGTAATTTACTACACCCCAGCTGCATTTTCCTCTGGCCAACAAAAATAAAATATATATATTTTAAATAATCTAAGACACAATCAAAGTGAAATCCTTAAATTATTTAAAAAAATCAACCTAAAACATCATAACTAATGCACTGTTGTATTTATATTGCATATCAGAATTGAATGATTTTATTACAAATTAAGATATTTCACAAGTTGCTGTAACAAGGTCGGTGAAATATTATGCTCGTCATTACTGAGGCTTTAGCCCCGAGGTCAGAGCATCCCTGTTGCTCCATCTCAGACAAAGTCATGCACTTTTCCATGACGTCCCATCATGAAATATTTGACAGTGCTGCATCCTCAGGAATGCTCGGCCACTTAGGTGGAGGTACACCGCAGAGTGCACGGTCCTGACAGGCTTTCCGGACTATCTTACCGTTATTTAGTGCTCAAAAACCAAGCTTGGACCCCTCAAAAATCAAGTTATTGCAAAGTTCTGCAAAAATGTTCAACTGAATGAATGGTTTCTTATTGCTTGTATTCTCCCATCCATTAACTCTTGTGACATATCAGAAGTTAGATATATATAATTTATGTTTTTTATTGTTGAACCTAAACATATTGTATTGTATTGTCTGCAGAAACAGTTTAATATTGAAATTACGTTTAGTTTGGACCTTAAACGTTTCTGAGGATTTGTTTCCTTCCTCATATCAAAATCTTGATATTGCATTCCTTGTTCTCTCAGAAATGATAAGGCTTCACTGTGCTACATAATTTGACCAAGTCACGAGGTTAACTTAAAAATATTCCTCATTTATACCAATTAGGCAAATAACTCAAGCGGATTATACATCAGCCACCGTGGTCAGCACTGCAATTCGATTTAACCTTATAGCAAATTGAACTGATGGTCGGATAAGGTCCGATACCAAATGACCTGGAGAATTGTATCTATCAAACTTGAAGATGCCATTTTCTTCAAAAACGATCATCTTTGATGGATAACTCTCTCCTCTGAGGGCCGCCGGGTCACCGAGAGGCCGCAGGGACTTTGTTTGGAGGGCAGTGCGACAAAGTGATCGATCAACTTGCCGTGCTCGTCCGACTTGAACTTGGTTTTAAAGCATTACCTAACAGCTTCACATCGGTAAACATAAATGAACTCCCTTAATTATCTGTTTCATTACTTTTTATTGCATGCAATTGATGTGAGGTGTCAAAGCTGTTGAATTGATAATTTTGAGAAAAACAAGTATTCATATATCTTTATACATGTTAAGTAAAAAACAATTGAATGCATACATCTATTTAAAGTAATATATCAACGTTTAAAGTTGAAATTCATTAGTGGATTTTACAAATGACCAATTGGTCTATATATTAGTCACAGAGCCTGAACGGGCTGGACACTATCCAATTGATTTTTTGATAATAAAATATGATTTCTCAGATTTTATTTAATCTATTTTATCATGCAAAATTAGTCAAATGTAAAGAACGCATAAACAATGGTACTGTTATCCATATGGGAAGCTGTTGCGCAGACATACTCAACATTTTGAGGTGTGCATTTTCTTTAAATAAAACTGTAAAAAAAACACATTTTATATTTTTTCATGTTGTTATACATATTATTTGCAAATTCTATCACTACATGATTGATCCATACAATTACTTTAATTGCAGATTTTAATTGAATGTAATCCTCCTTTTGAATGTCCTAGATTTTCAAGTCCAACAAATAATTCAAAGATGTATCCTTATTGCTTTACTTGCTTTTTGTCTCTGCAGTGTCGCCTGCAGTTCACTCAGCATTGTCGTTTTAATTGAAAACAGTGTAATGTCGAGGTGGGTACCCCCTCATCACTTTCCTTGCGCTGTAGGTGGCCGTGTATATTTTCGTTTAAGTGGTGTTTATGTGAACGAGAAAGGACGGGATTGCTTGCAGACCGCTGATTGCGCGCATTGGGTCTCTGCATGGATGTGAAGTGTATTTGATGGGCACCTCCCTCTCCGGTAATCAGCTGCAGCAGAAGTGCGCTCGATTACTTTTTAATTCTCTTGGCGAGATATCTCTTCCGTGCCATGCTGTGTGTGATGGCGCGCAGAAAAGTAGTGCCTTGAAACAGCATCCTTAAATGGATGACTAAATACATGTTTCTCTTACACAACATTTCATAGAGATGCCAATGGTAGCCTACTAACTCAAAAATAATAGTTCAAACATCCGCCCTGCTGAAGTGTCCTTAAGCATGACAGTTACGATAAGCGTGAACGAAAAATATATAATTATTTCAACCCGTGCGTCGTGTTGCAGGTGTTGCAGTCTGATGGAAATTGTAAGGTGTTTAGTAATCTTATATGAGATACATTACGCTTACCTCAGTAATCTTTTGTCACATTTAATGTGTTTAAACAACGTTCCACTCGTGATTCAAGGAGAGGTAAATCACCTTTTAGTAATTTTCCCTTAAAACTTGGTTTAACAACGGACTCTATAAGTTGTCGATACAAACTTGCCATATTAATGATTGTTATAATTGTTCTTTTTTACAACATATAACTTTAGTGTTAAATGCCTAATAATAACTGTTTAGATTACATATATTTTGTATCTGTATGTGAATGTAGGGTAATAACTAAATAGTTGCCCAAAGTTCCAGTTTTTTGTCATTTGTTGGTAGAGACACACGCCCACCTTTCTCCGATGCACACCTGCAGCAACAACTATAAATTGCACACAAAGCTATAACTGATCATTTAGAGTAGTCGATGATGTCTGGATGTCGCAGACCCTTAAGTAACTTTTTTGCACATTGAAATTTAGAGATTTAATTAATTTGTAGGATTAAAGTCCAGGTTAAAATCGTAATTTAATCTAATTTAAAACCTCATTAGGTTCTGCACGACAGACATAATGAAATGTGAATATGCTGCAAGTTTGAGG